CCTGCTGTGTACTTTCAGTGGTGCATATTTTTGCATTGCAACCATTGAATAAACCACAGCAGTACTTTGGGAAAAGCGATCAAAACTTCAGTCAGGAGTTCACAAAGTTGGCATCCCTCTTGCTCATCTTCCCAATGGTAAAGTAGCAAGCTTGAATAGGAGAGAGACATCCAGCTACCTAATCTGTGAACCCCTGACACAGACAAAATCAGATGCAAAGTTAACACTGAGATGTTCAGCAGCTGAACACTAGGCATCCAGGTATCTTACCAGGCAAAGATTTAACAGTATACTGCCTCTTAACTGCCTCAACAGGGGTTCTGTTGAACGCTCACTTAACAGACACATCTAAATTTCGCCTAGGCTTTTCTCTAAAAGATTCTCCGGTGTTTGCCTTAGGTACCGAAACAATTTTCAGAAAGCAGACCTTTTTATGTCACCCAGACTGAGCTAGAAGCAAATGCAGAGCAGCTGTATCAGTGCTCTTTTTGCTGCTTCTCGGGGCAGATGGACCCAGCTTCAACAGAGTCATAGAGAAGCTATGCTCAAACCACAGTTCTCTGAGATACTCCCGGCAGGACAGACAACTGACCCTGAAGAGCTCTCTTGCCATGCTGGGCACATGAGAGAGGTCAGAGCTACGTAATTCCATGCGCTTCTGGAGAAGCAAATGGGAGGATCAGACGTGAACATCACCTCCTTTAGAGCTACAGTAACACCTGCAGAGGAAGGCATCAATTTCTGGGATTTATAACTTAGTAAAACCACATAAAGATATACACTCTTCTGTTTACACAGTGCAGTCACACCACTCCAGATAGGAGCCTCTATGTTCACCATAAAGTCCTGGTGGAGACCTCAGAGTCACATACGCCTTCCATAAAATAGGGAACTGGCTTCTACGTCAACAGCTACTTCAGTTTCAGATGACCCTCCAGCAATACTGCTAAACACCAGAATTTCAAGTAATAATTACACACAACAACAATTCTTGAAGCAGGCAAAACAAGTAACAATAAGAAGCAATAAGCCAGCTTAGTATTTTGGCTGCATTCAGGTAACTTTTGGTCAGATTACAAAAATGAACATTTGCGTAAGTGAAAAAGATTTGTTCAATGGCTCAAGATATTTCAGGCACTTAAATGAATGTCACCAATGTGCCATGTTCTTCGGAAAGAAATAAACCCCTTATTTTTCACTACTTGTCACAATTCTACTGCAAACTATCACATCTCTGAGTCATGTGTGAAACAGCATATATAACCTTCCATTCACACACATATTCCTACTTGGGAATCTTTACATTTCAAGAAAGAAGATAACCTGTTCCTGAAATGCAGGTAAAAGGCTATCAGAAGTCCAAGGTCAAATGGGTTAATCTGAAGCCATCAAGATGACTTCTTTAACGTTCCTGTACTTATATCATTATATCATTGTTAATTCATTCAGAAAAAGCAAACTGATAAAGCCTGCATCATTTCTCTAAGAACTGTTCGCTTTCAAGCTCCATTATACCTATTTAATGGCCAGTTTCAATAAATTTATTGCTAAAAATATTTCATATCTGTTAGTTTAGTAGAAACATTTAAATGTATTTTTCAAAGGAATTAAGTAGCATTTGCCACTCAATTAATTTAGAAATATTTTGCATACTTCCAAATAAACAATGCAGTAAGTATTCAGAAGTCCTTCGGAGGATGTATACTTCAAACCACATACGTGTTGCATTAAGGCCTGGCAGTTGTAAAGGCAAAAGTAATCAGTTTGTCTGAAATTGTAAGCTACAAGGGCAAATATCTTCATATCCTCTTTCACTCTTTCTATTTTGTCTTGAAAATGTTAAGATGAAATCTGAGTTCCACTGGAGAGCTGACAATAATGAGAAACAGGAGGAGCTTGTTATAGTCAGTATGGAGTCCAGAACAGCAGGCTGGAGCATTAAACAGTATCAAGATTAGAGACAGAGAAGGAAGCCAAAATGAACACAGAGAACAGAAGAAAGGCTATGGCAGAGTTTCACATGCTTAACATATTATGAAAAAGCAGATCCTGCAAAGATCTCTCCTGTCAAGAGAGGGACAGCCACAGCAGGCATTACCCTGCAGAAACATTCCTTGGGAGATCATGCAAAAGCAGTAAACACTCAAGGCAAACGCAGCAAGCAGAGCCACCCTATAGCACATCAAATTGTCCCTCTAGAGCTAATGGTTTGAAGCTGAAACTTCTAGCTCCTTGTGTAACTTGCCTGCCACCCACAAAATGAAGAAAATCTGAAGGGTTATTTTTGGGAATGGGATGTTTCAGAGAAATGTGTATACCCCTCCACTTGGAATATTTTTTTCAGTAAATCTAGCTAGTAATGATTGTTTGGAATCACTTTTTTTTCCCTATTAAGAATCCAGTCTGAGCTGTAGGTTCAAGAATAGACCTATCAGAGAATATGTAAAGATCTGGATCATGCTAGCCTGTATGAAGTTAGTTTGGGGATTTTTTGTGAAAGAAAAAAGAAAAAGAAGATACAGCCTTGCCAGAACTCCCAGGCAACATTACCCTCATCATACAGTTTATCCTACCTCACATAACAATACACTTGGCAACACTCAAAAACAGTAACAAAAACATAGCCTGATCTTGAAAGGTGCTGATCCATTTCATCAGCTGTGAATTTATGGCACTTTAAAAAAATAATTCCTGCAATTATCCTCAAAATAAAACCACAGTAGTTAATTTACTATGAAAAAACATTAATAGTGTTTAAATTAGAACTGCCTCTCGCACTTGAGTTCATTACCTCCAAGCAACCTAAGCTTGCTTGATCTATTAACACACACTCTCCACTCCAGTCTTTAAGGATACAATTCCATGTAGGAAGGAACACACACAGTTTCTTTTGAAAACTCCACAGGACAATAAAGCCTGCTAAGCTGTTCTTCATACAGAGTCAAGGCATCCGTCAGATTGATACAGTTTCCCTGAAGAAAAAAAGAAAAGTCCCAGTTACAATCAAGCAAAATTGCAGATGAATATATACATTTTGACATTAATGCAAGGCTCCCACATACTTCAGAACCAGATACATGCTGTTCTTAATATTTAATATTTACAAGGCAAATACTGAACAGCTTGCCTTCATTCTGCCTACAGCAAACAACAATTTGTATGTTTTCAAGAAAGGGCAAGTATGGGGGGGATTATCTATCTTCTCACTAGCAGAAGCAACCATTACATTAGAGCTTCAACTTAAAACAGACCACCATGTGTTGTTTACTTATAACATCTACTCAATAACCATTTTCTTTATGATTGCTTAAATGTATTAGTAAACAGTATTACAACATCCAGATTTTCTCAATTATTTAACATTGCCTGGGTCTTACGACATTTAAATGCACTATAAAAAACCCTATAAACTATTCACTTTAAACAGATTCTTCCACAGAGCAATATGACAAAATAAATCAGTTTATACAGAAGTTCTGTGGCTGCAGGCTACACTGTCTTGAGTTTCTGTGTATCATGCTTCTGAAAAGAAAGTGATTCTTATAATCTTTTTTTTCTTTGACCCGTGTCTATCTCATTTAAGAATATTAGTAGTATTCTTTTCTCAACAAAAAAAAATAACAGTGCCTAGATGATCTTTCTTTAACAGGGCAACTATGAAATATCACACATATTGAATTCACAGCATTCCTTCCTAGACAAACAAATATTACCCAAATAAATAGATCTTGGAATACAAACACATCTCAAGGATTACAAATGGTGAGGAATTAAAATAAAAACCAAACCCAAACCCACTCCTAATTACAAGCACAACCTTGTCCAGAGCTAAGTATTAACAAGCAGAAGTTACTGCAACATATACCTGGGATTCCCATACAGAGAAAGGTCTAATTAGAAAAGTGACTATCCATATCCATAATTGGTTTGAAGATTTAGCAATAAGTGAGCCCACAGAACACCAGACTGAACAAACACAAACTACACAAAGCAATAAAACACAGTTGTGCAAGTTTAATGAAAAACTTCTGGTCAAAGTTTCTTGCCTTTCTTGCCCACATACTGAGTAGACTAGCTGATACTTTACAACCTTAAATACAATGATCTTAAGAAGAATGTGGGAAATACAAGTTATTTGGACACTAACTTAAAATGGAGTAAAGTTGGATATAGTCACCACTGCACAGTCTACAAATTACTCAGTTTTAGTTTTCCAGGTACAAGACTCTAAATAAAGACCAACCAAGTATGAATACATTGTTGCCATGGCACAGCATTGGCTTAAGACATTCTGCAACTCTGGTTAAGGGGGAAATGTTAATGGTCCTCAGCACACTGACAGCCAGATAAATTGATTTGTGGTCTTCTACCTCCACCACTTCCATCAAGAATCTTCAGCTCAACCTATAGACCCCAAACATGATGCCCAACCATGCTGCACACCACATATGAATAGCAAGCTATATGACGATGATGAATCTATCTTGACCACCCAGCATGTGCATATCTGGTCATATGTGGGGCAGGATGAGACGTCTTCAGGAGACATCTGTCCCCATCCTTCCCCAATGGTTGGGTTTACTAGCTTACAGTATAAATGCCTTTTACCTTGACCTAGCATAAAGCCTACTTCCTTTTTCTGATTTCTATTCAGTAGAAACAGAAGCATTAACTACCATTTCTCCAGAGTTACTTTCAACATAAAAATCCTCAGCTTTCCCACATATTTTACGACTTCTAGTGGAGGAACATTTACCACGGAAGACAACAAATGACAACAAAAAAGGGAACTTTCATGCTAATGAATACACAGTTCTCAGTAACCTAGCATATTAGCCAAAGTCCCACAAAACGATGGCAAGAGACCCAAGGCACAAAAGTTCGCTATTTATCTCAGATCACAAGAATATTAGTCTCAATGATACGAGGATATGCATTAGACAGAAAAAGGTCTAGTTAAATCAAAAAAATAAGGGAAGAAACAGTCATTTACTAATACAGCCAGCTTCTTGGTTTCTAGATGACTCTCTGTTTATGACTGGACAGGCCAAAAACCTTCCTGCTAAGCACTTCTGAGGAGAGTATTGCTTTTGATCTTTAAAAGCCCTGAACTTTTCTAGACAGAGAGAGACGAGAACAAGAAAGCCTAAAGCAATAGATTCCACCTATGGAATGGCAGTATCTTCCCTCTGCTCTGAATGACTTCTGGAAACATTTGCGCACGCACACACACACACACAATTTTGGATTTTTTTCCCTATTACTGAATGAGGTTATCTTGTCCCTTCCTGCCCTTAGATAACATGTGTAACTCACATCTGACTGTAAAAGAATGCAGATGGTTTAACTAAGACAAAAGAGCTAGATCTAATTAAAAACTATAGCTCTCTTACAGTCATGGACTTCATCCTACTGTTCTTCTGAAGTTTTGGCATCATGCTCAATGAATTTTTTGCATTGTGCTCAAGTTTTCACAAGTGAAAAAGAAAACCTCAAATTAAAAAATCCCATACAGAGCATCTTTTAAAAAATCATAATTCTTGAAAGCTCTCTTTCAAAAGAACTTGCATAAAACGTGTTTGATTATCATTTTGATCATATTCCACAAACGCGTACTTGTTTATTTGGTAAAGGAAGATGGCATGCTTTATCTTGAATATATCATATTTGGTTTGGGGTATCAGAAAACAAAAGAGGTTTGTGAAAAGGTGAGAGATGAACACTAACCAAGCACAACTGCACAAAGCACAACAATGACCAGACTACTGTGGTACTCGTTTAGTAACCTGTTATTATCCAGGGGACTATAGCAGTTATTTGGTTCAGCTGCCCCTTACCAAACGTACAATTTTGTTTCAGCATCAGACTGAATGCAAAAGAAAACTAGAAAAAAAAACAACCTCTGTGTGTAATTTGAGTCATAAATAGAAAACACTGCTAGGTAATTTATGGAGCATATCACTCTTCCAGAGAAAGTTTAATAGGATACACAATGAGATAAAAGGATCCACAGTTTCCCAGCCTGTTGCTTCAGTATTTCATCCTTTCTCCCTTCTCCAGCAACAGAGAAATCACTGTAGACAGTGTGGAAAACAAATTACAGGAACAATGAAACATGCCAATAAGTAATTTCTACTTTCCAAACGCACTACTCTCCAATCTCCAAATCAAGACCTTACCTGAAGGCTCAGACATCCCACCTGGCTGTTCTATTAAACTCTCCTTCTGGAGACACACCACAGGATTTTATAGTTCTGCACAGTTACATTTTTTTTCTAATTATTTGTCTTTACTCAACAAAAAGCTAAGAATTCCAAAAATCATATCTACAAAACTTGGATGAATTTATTTCAATAAAAAGTTACTGAAAAATCACTATTGTTAACATCTTTCTGTAAGAAGTGACCAGCTTTATCAACTAGGACTACAGTGTCGCTAAAATACACAGGGAACCAAGCCCAGAATGCAATACAGTGATCATCTAATAATCTACGCTCATTTTAAACCCCCCCCCATGAAAAGAGTTATGTGGTAGAACAATACCTTTTTTGTTCTGAACAGCCACCATTAACTCACAATAATATTGAACAGTGTTCAGTAAGTTTTAAAGCCAACGACTCACCAATTATATCTTTTCAAAGGGAAATAAGCAAAATCAGACTTTCTTTTTTCTCCCACATTGTTCAGTCAATTTCCAGCACATACAAAAAACCTAACAAACTCCCCTGCTTACCCCCCCTTACTTAATCTTTGTTCCATGTCAAACAGTTTGACAGAGAAGAAATGGGGGAATGCTGGCATATTTTTTTCTCCTTAACAAGCATCTCTCTGACACAAAAGTGTTTGAGGTAGTTTTAAACTTTGAGATTAACTGATCTGTACTTGTAAAACCTTGTCTAAGACTGACTATTTCCAAACTGTTTCACAGCCTTTGCATTGAGTCTGCTCAGTGCCTATCTCCCAACTCCAATTCTTCTGGGCTTTCATAAGGCATACATTCTGTAGTACCATGGGTTTAGTTTTCACATTTCTACAGCACAATGCACAACAAATTTAAATAATAAATACAGTTCTGGGCAGATAATAAAAAATATTCCTTAAAATAAGTAGTAAAAAAAAATAATAATCTGTTTAAATGAACTCTGTAACTTCCAGTAAACTTTACCCACCTATAAAGGGGATGTGTTCATCAACTGATTATAGGCTGAATTTAGGCCGCTCTGCTTCCTCCAACCTTAAAAAGTACACTAGAGACTTAAAAGCAGATGGAAGGGTCTCTCTCCATACTTGCCCATTTCTTACACATGGTATTCTTATGGGTCTTATCCTACATGTCATTGCTACTGGTCATCCTTGTCTGTGACAGTATACTAGATAAGTTTAATTTTTATTTTTAATTTAAGATGGCTTTCTATTTTTATTTTGTAACGACAAAGTGCCAGAGTTGAACATGGCCAAGGTAAGGTATCTCCACTGGCCAAACAATCAACTGATTCAAAACTAAACTCTCAGTAACACAAGGAAATTAAATGTCTGTCATCCCATAAAGACCCCCAAACTACCAAGAAATCACACAGGCTCACACAGGGATGTACATCCGTTCTTCCTCCTTTCACGTTGCAGTCAAGGAGAACCCTGCTCCCTCTTTGGAAGTGCTAATTAGAAAACCCACACAGCAGCCAAAAAAAGAAGTGTAACTATGGAGCAACATCACGGTGGTCTGGACATTTAGAGGGCAGGGCCACATTGTATTAGAGAGTGGCCAGGAAGTGACAGCTTGGTGAAGGGCTGCACATCCGTGTGGGAGACATCTGATCCCTTGCACCAGTGGTTAGTGCTGTTTACTGGAACGCAAACCTGTGAGTGATCTGAGACTGTTTCTATCCTGCCTGGGCTGGATGACCCATACTAGGAAGGAGCAAATTCCTGTTCAGAGGTATTTTTAAAGGTTCCACTTCATAAACAGGCTGAAAATGATAGCCTGCTCAACCTCAAAGGATTAGATCAGCAGAGCAAAAACTTAGCATAGAAAAAGGCATTTTCCTAGCTACATGTAATCCACTGACACACAGAGGTAACCTTACTATCAGTCTCTGCATCTTACAGAGCACAGTTTCACAGCTGTTGGGACAATCCTCACATGCTACCTGGAAAGCACAAGATGGGGATGGTTCAGAAAAAAAACACAAACATATCACATTAGTATCTAGCAAGTACACATACTCTGCTGAAGCTGAAAAAAAAAAAAAAATCACTCGGGCAATCTAAAAATCATACTGGCTTTTAGGAAGTCCAATGCCATAAAAAAACTTGATGTGTTCAGAAATAAGTCACTGGGGACATCCATTAGAGATGCAACTGGACCTCAGGATATTCCAAGTTCTTACATTCTCACTGACCCCCACTTCTCTCCACTGTGATGGTTGGGAACCTGCACTGTAACTGGCTCCCCTTGGAGAAGGCAACACTGAGCACCTTACAGACCCAGACCCATTACTAAACACTTCAAAGCATCAGCTTCAGAAGGATAAGGAAGAAGAGAAATATAGCAAACCATATGACCTTGAAGCATTGGAATATTGGGATTATGTCAGTTTTTGCAAACAAGCCTCAAGTCTTAAACCTACAGACAGGGCTGCAAGTTCTGCGGGCTAAGGGCCCTAAAGCTCACCCTCCTTTGTCCAGGTCCTATGTAGGCTGCAAGATTCTCAATACGGATGACACAGCTAAAAATGCAAGGACATGAAAAGCAAGGCTGCTACTCATAAAAGTAAGTTTTTGTTCTTATTGCAATTACTATTTGTGGATGCATAGAGTGAGTATGGAGGCATTTTTTCCCCCAATATACTTAAGCACAGACTTACAGCATCAGAGAATTAGATCCATAAACTGCCCTTTCTATCTTTCCAGAGCTGAAACAAGCAAAAAGTCCCTCCTTCATCCTACAATTGACCACATATGTTCTTGCATCCCCTAGGAATATGAATAAATAGTCTGAAAAACCTTTCACAGACAGAATCTCTCTATAAATGTTAACAAACTGCTAGGCAATATTAGTTATCAGTCTCCACCTAGTGGTAAAAGCATATTCTGCATTCGCATTTGGAGACTGAGGATCACCACAGCATCCCAAAGGAACAACCAAGTATGTTAGAGCAGCATGCCAAAAAATTAGTTCTTTTTATAATCTCAGATAAACTACATCTATCTAGAGTTAGACAGCTCTAGACCCTGCCTGCCGACAGTTCATGTGCTGAATAGAACGTTTTCCAAAACTTGTGCAGAGCTCAATGAAGAGGTGATGAGCATTTCCATTTATTTTTCCCAGCACTGGCATTTAGAGAATCAGGCACCAATACAGTATGTAAAAGGCTGGCATTCTGTGAACAGCATTTCACTTCTGGGTAAAGCTTTTCTTGAGCATTGAAATAAATGACATTCTAACAAGACACCCTGCAAGCAGAACTATCAGAGGACAGAAATTCAAACGTTAGTACAACACAATGCCAAGGCAGAAGCAGCAACTACAGCTGCTGGCCAGTAGCCAACAGGACAATGACCCTTTTGCAGCATCTTCCCCCCTATGAGGCATTTCCTCATCATAGTGAAAGTCAGGCTCTAACAAGTAAGTGGACATTCCTGCAGCCGCTTTTCTTGATGATATTTAACATATTTTATGTTTTAGAGAATCAAAACGTGCTTCAAGAAAGCCTGGGGGTGGGGTGGACACATGAAGCCCTGGATTTTTAAAACACAACTGCCTTAAAAGCCACGTGATTCCTCCAGCAAGTAAAGTACAGCCCTGCTACCTAAGATAAGCATCCTGGAAGTAGACAGCTGGAAGAAAAGTAACTTAATTTGCCAACATTAATACACAGAGCTATAAACCCCTGGCATTTAACAGCTAACGCATCAGAGCATTCAAAACCATTTATGAGTTCCCAGTGCATAACTAAGCTCAGCTACCACAGTCAGTAGTGGTCATGTTTGAACTTCTGTCCATAGTCTAACCCAATCCTTTGGATACCTAGTTTCAATTAGTTTAATTCAAAACCTAATTTAAAGAAAGTTGTAGACACATGATTTTATTTAAAGCACACCTAAAATTCTGTTATTCCCATGATCAGACTACTGAGTTTTCTGAGGGTTTTTCTGTTTGTTATTCTTTTTACATCAGACCCAACTGGGAAGAGGCTACAAGGACCATCAAATGGGCTGGGTAGTGTATCAGTAGATATATCAAAAGCTCTGATAGCTTTTTGACCCAGTATTAGTTTTCCTTTTTCCAACACCCACAGGAAGACTAAGTTGCCAGAGTACACTGCTTCTATACTCCAGCCCTTTCACTGGCTACCAGTTAGCCACAAGTCCAAATTCAAGCTGCTTCAGTTTTAATATTGTATCTTTCCCATCCTGTCCCACCTTGTTGTTTTGGGACCGTGAAGCTGATATTGCGCAGTTTCACAATGGCTTAAACCCGCCAGGGCCAGTTCAGTACTGCTGTCCTTTCTTCCTGAGCAAGCAGAAATACTGGAGAGCCAAGTTGCCTCCTCACACCATGACAGGGCAGGCAGCGGGGCTGCACCAGTCTGAACCTGTATTGGCTTCAGCTGACACAAAAACCCCTCCCTGTACCCTGGCTGCAGCACAGCCATCACCCCAGCTTTCAGCACAAGCTTCTTCCCATAGTTGTTCTGCAAAGTCTGACAGACACCTGTCCACAGACATACATTTACCGAGTTCTAATAAAGTCAGCTACATATGTTCTAATAAAGTCAGCTAGTCTCACTGTGTAAGTTACAAGTATAACAACTGCAACACAAATGCTTGCTCTGTCCAAAAGACAGTGTCCTTTCAACATCAAAGTCTGTGATATATATTTCCACTATTAACAGAATAGAAAAGCCATTAAGATTTACAGTGTGATACAATCATATTAGTCATATCTTACAATTCAACCACAAGATAATTTATCTTGCCCATACAACTACAGCATTTTAAAATAAAGCAGCACATTAAAGTTGCCAAAAACCTCATTATATGAGTTTTGCATTTCTTTATAAACCTGTCAAATTGACAGTAAACCAGTTCCTTTACACACCTCAGAAACTCTATGCTGATAGGAACAGAATTCAAATGCATAATTTTAGCTAGGTTATTTCAGAGCTTAACAAAATTATTTCAAAATGCTGTACTTAGATGCTCCACATATCAGAGGACTAGTTAAGGTATGGGCATGACAAAAGAAATACAACTTCAGAGACTTATACTTCACTCAGACGTCTGCTGGGTCTTGTCACAGCTTTGTACAATTGCACACAGCTTTGTGGCATTCTGAATTCAGGATTACATACAGAAAGTATCTTTAGATGAAAGCTATGCCACAATTATATTATCCATGAGGTGGCTATACTGTATCGATAAAGTATACAAATTTTAAATTATTTATTTTTAAAAAGAGCTGCATTAAAAACTTCATACACAAGGACAAAATCTTATTTGTGACTATATGAAATACTTCAGTGACTTGCATTAAGAGTGGAGAACAAGCAAAGAGAGAGTATTTACTCCCAAATGACTAATTTTCTTATCCCATTGCACCTATGTCAAATTCTTACACCTTTATGGATGGCAAATTTTCATGTCTTACACTCTACAACTGGAAACATTAGCTTAAAAACCATGTACTTGTTTACAAAATACATCTGTTCTGCTTTTCCAAGAATTGCTTACAGCTAAACTATTCTGTAGTACGCCTAGCTGATTCTTGAAGTTATGCTTTTAAATTCAAAGACACAAGTACTATAAATTCAGCTGAAATAATGAAAAAAGACAAGTCAGTTTGCAAAGCCCAAATTTCATGCAAAAATCCCTAATGAGTCATTAAAAGGAAAGAAACAGCCTGCTAGTAGATTTTTAGTTAGTTGGTTTGGTTTTGTCCCCTTCCTTTTTTTTTACCTGAAAAATGCGGATTGCAATACATATAAAGCAATACTTTTTTTACATCTAGGTATCATACCTGTGTGAAGTATTTCCCATCTTGTTTCAGGACTTTCATTGAGAGGTCAAGAATCAACCGCAGAAATTCCCATGTGGAATCTGCATATAGGATATGATTTAAAACCAGAACAGCACAGTACTGGCTTGTTCACTATTACATATTGAAGACTTGCAACATATCTACTATTTAAAAAGTAGCTATCCCATATCCTAATAAAAAAACAAAACAAAACAAACAAAAAAACCCCAACAAACCAAGAAAAAAAAAACCCACCAGTAAAAACCGCACACAACCCATATACAATGGCAACGACGGTGGAAGTGTGTCTGGTTTTCTTCACAGCAATTTTCCAGACATTTCCAAGAAATTATAGAGTGGGGAAAAATCTACTGGAGTGTGAACTCCCCAATACTTTCTGAAGAATTCCAAGAGTTGATATTATTCTAGTCCTAGGCACTTGCAAATTTTTTTCTAACATTCAAGAAAATTTCAAAAAGAATATATGTGTTACTATCATTCTTTGTCTCTCAGATTTGCTATTAAAAGGGCAAGACTCAAAGTATATTTGTTGCAAACTACCAACTATTATGCAGCAGAAGGGCAGAAACATGCTAAATCCTCAAAAGTTTAAGAAAATAGATTAGAAGATTAACCTTCTTCTGGAGATGTGGAGATTGGAACAGCCGTCAGATCATTAATTACATAATCAAACATCCTTCCTTCTTTGGCATACCTCTTCAGTACGGGAATACAGTCTTCAATTAGAACCTATAAGAATGGAATACTGTAGCTAGTCCTCAAAATACCCTAAAACTGACCAGCTAAAAGGAACAAATGCGGATTCACAGGAATTAAGAGGAGGGGAAAAATACAAAATTAAATGTGCATTTAATTTTAGGCTCCGTTTTCAACTTTTTACATCATATATAAAATGAGGAACAGTTGTAGGAATTATGACAATGACAACATAGGCACTACAGGACTGAATTTCCTAGCTCTGTCACCACCAATTGCTGGGTGACCACTGTTCTACCCACCAAATGGTAACAAGTTAGCAGTCTCCCAACAGACGAGTAAGTAAGGCATTTCTGTTAAGGGCCAATGATGCATGCAAAGCAGTATGCGACATCTCTGTTAGGTTTTTCGCATGCTTTTTTAGCTCACACCTGTAAACTAGTACCTGTGAGAGCCTTAAGGAGCAATAATGAAAACAGAAAAGGTTTCCATTGAAGATGTCAGATTACACCTGGGCTAGTTTGTAAGCTCTGTCAGATGCAGGACCATGAAGACATTTACTGCAGGGATACATGACTTATTTTTTTTTTATTATTTTTAATACACTAGCAGTGTAATGGCAATAGATTTTGCCAGAGTTAAAATATTTTGACACTAATGTATACTTCCAACACAAATCCCACTGCCAGTTACTGAAATTTAGAAGTGTCATAAAGAAGGAAAAAATCCTTCCCAAAATTAAGAAAAATCAGAACACTTTGCCTCAAAACTTTCCCATAGCAGTCTTCCAGGCTAGGTATAACTGTATTTGAAATATTACTTCTAACAAAAGAAAATCAAGAAATTACCTGATAGCACTCTCCTTTCAGATTGTCTAAGACATCTCCGCATGTTTTACGCATGTATTTTTTACACCCGTCGATCACCATTTGGTCAATGTTTGAAGCTGGTTAAGGCATTCTACATTCCAGAAATAGTACATGCAACAGTTGCTATTTCTTCAGAAAGAAATTCTCAAAAAGGTGACATTCACAAAAGAATCGTAAAATGTGTATCTTGGTATACATACTGCAATAGCCAGTTTTCGCCTGTATTCGCCTCCAGATTCAGTCAGAGGTTTAGGAAGTGCTTATTTTTGTTTTTAACCAGTATTTCTGGTACCTTAGGTTACCATTACTGTGAAAGCTTGAAATGTGAACAATAGGATGGTGTATTTTAAAACCCCATAAACCTAAACTAGGTTAAGACTTTAACCTACATTTTTAAAACAATTATTTTTAGTTTCTAGCAAGTGGATCCCAAAACCTAGGATGATCAACATTTCATATGGCTAACAGCGGTATACTTTACAAACTATCTGAACCACAGAATGTTGAAAACATTATTTGTACCGGTATTTTTAAGATAGGGCAAGAGTTGGGTCATTCTGCCACCAACACAATTCACCAAGTCCTGACATTCCTATTGATTAAACTTTTTTGCTTCTAGGGATTTTTTTTTTATAGCTTTCTTTAGAAAAACAGAAGAACGAAAGAAAGCAGAACTTAGCCCAATACACAGACTTGACAGACCTGTCTTCTGTTATCAGAGAAGATATCAGTCTGATGACAGAAGCGTTTCTTTCCAGTTCTATGTAAATTGTTACTCGAGAGTTATAGTATGGATTGCGAACTTGAAAGCACGTGCTACATAACGATGCACAAATATGTAGTCACTGGGTCTCTCTAAAATGATAAAAAGAAATTTCATTTTATACCCTATATCCCCACACAAATCAGAACCTGATAGTTAATTGTGCTCAATGCTAAGACACCAGCAGAAAACACAGGCTAAAAATGTTGAAACGAATGATCAGTCATTTGTCAAAGGATATCTCTACCATAGTAACCATCTTTGGTTTCAGTTTGACTATCTCATATAGTATACCTCCATCACCACCTCCTAGGATTAGCACTTCTTTCCCAGTGTAGTCTTCTTTTCCGCTGCCCATTATGGCTTGAGTATATGCCAGGTCACTCTCTGCCAGATCTGAACGGAAGGAAGAGAAAGAGTTGGACAGAAACATTACATCTTTAATTCTTCTCATTAATTGGCATTAATTTGGTATTAATCCAAAGGTGATATAATACAGACCAAAGCAAGAGCATCTACAGGAACAACCCAGCTCTCAGAGACAATCCAGGTAACAGGAGGCTGGTGATTTACCAGAGCTAATGAGATCCTCCTCAGAATCCCACACAGGGTTTCTCCAGTTCTCAATGCACACCCAGCAATGGCTACCTCAGCATTACAGGAAGCACTGTGTGCCAAGAGAAACAAAGCTGTAGAGCAAAACTGTCAGTACTTAGGACCCGATGGCCACACTTGATACTTCAGTGGGTTTTTACCTCAGACTAGTGCTGCAAGAGACAAAATTGGGAGATTTTTGAAAGCACACTCTGGACCCCAACTAAAAAGAGCAACCTGGATGGACCCCAGCGGATCCCTGCACAGAAGCAGAAGCATGACGATTAACACCTAACTGCTGAAGGGCCCTGAAGCATGCTTTCTGCTGACTTGCAGGCAACATTCCTAAACTGTAATAACAGCTCTGAGCTACAGGGCAAAGATTTGTGCAGCAGCACATCATGGCATAGCCTATCATTCAGCCTGGCCATCAGCACTTCGCTTTTAAGTGCATAATAACAAAATGACACAAAGCAGTATTTTAAAATTCCATGGAAGGTAAATAAGTAATGGCATACTTCCCTTTCTACAAGGCATACTGTGATAACACTCAAACAAAACCTCATATCCATATGAAACTCTGATGAAAATTTCTGGCTGGAAGTATGGAATACCTAATTTGGTGATTTCAAATACAATTCTAACTGAATTAGAGAATACCTTGCTAACGAATTCAGTAACAACACTTTTCAGCTGCCATCTGCACAGAAGTCCCCCTGACAGTTGCAGAAAGCTAACTGAATGGTTAGGGGTATTTCTGGTTATTTCAAAAAGCTATAGTCAAATTTCTTAATTACTCTGCCATTAGACTGAAATTAGGTATTCTATCCCTAGACAGCAACATCACTCATTTAACTCGATCAGTACTTTTCAACATAAGCACTAAAACATTTTACAAAACCTACTCCTTGATGGCTCGATTTTCTAGCAAACAGCATTCTTATCCAACTTAAAAGAACAGTAGCCCACCTTCTCTCAACTTCACTTTCAAAAATACAAAGGTTAGCAGGCACAGAGTATCTCATATAAAGACCCTTCCATATAGGCTGGGTCACTCTTATGATTAACTTAAGAGTCCAACTGAACATTTTGAAGAAGACAGAGTTAAAAGATGTTCACCAAAAAGCAGGTAAATGGTTTAAGATACAGCTGTCCTGTATCCACCAAGCCTGTAATTCCCTCAGAGAATCAAGGGAGCAGCAGGATTATCCCCCCACCCCAGCTCCTACTTCTTTATATTTCTTTAGAATTCCCCCGTGTTTTGAAGACCGATGAAGTAGCTTCTTTTACTGTCAAAGAGAAGCCCTCAAGAGGTTGGACTGGCAACAAACAGGTAAAAGCTAGTATGAAAGAAAGGAGCAGAGTAAGCTGTGCCAGAGAACACTGACTTCTATTCTCCTGTGCCACCTTCCACAGCAAAGATGACGACTTTGGAAAAAGAAGAAATCTTGTTTTATACTCTAGATTTTATATTGGTAAGGCTTTCTGATTAAAATATGCAATACGGAAACAGACGTATGTGTACATGCATATGTGTAACTTCCAGCATCAGAACCATGACTCTTAGTAATCTATTAAAACTGTGCCATAGCAAGATAGAAAACAGAACTTCCTACAAATTCACGCAAAAGATCCTTGAAGGAGATGATACTTACTAACATCCCCACTGAGGATAAGGATATTCCCAAACTGTTTTGAATGCAGAATTTTAATATTCTGAAAAGGTGAATCTTCATCATAAACAACCTCATCTATGTCGTACTCCACCAGGCGCCCATCAGCTGTGGGCCAATATCTATCAATGACACCTCCTCTCAAAATGGCTGGCAATCTAGAAAGAAATAATGAGATCACAAAACATTTGAGAATGTTTATTTAAAAAAAAAAATCCCTCTAAACATCCTGTGGATTCACCATAATAAGTAAATAATATTTACAAGAGGGATCTAATAAAACCTGCAAGATTTAACACTCAGTGGATACAAGAAAGCTATCGGCTATATGTTAAATATACATGGTTCTTCTTTATGTACAACTTCTGCAACATGCACGTGAATCTCCTTCTACCTTAAGAGAGGGGATTTACATAACATACAAGCCTCTGCAGAAGAATCAGCTCATGAATAGAAATGGATACAATACAAAAGCAAAATGGAGACAAAAAAAGACGACAAAACTTCTTCCCATCTTCAGCTCAGCTAAGAATGCCTTTTCCTTGAGATTAGTGGATCTCACCCTTCTGAAGTTGTACTGAGAGACATTTTAAATACACACGCAAACACAAAAAGTGAACTATTACAGAGTTTCAAACTGAGCCAGGTCACCCAGCAGTGTATAAGCACAACCCTTGATACCAGTTGACTTGTTAAGTGTTTCAAGCATCTGCATAGATCATTTTGTTTTTGTTTGGTTGTGGTTTGTGTTTTTTTTTTTTTAATTCCATATAGAAGTATCCTGGTTCAAATCAGCATTTTACCTGTAAAAACAAACTATATTTGAAACGGCAGTGAATGATCACAATGATTGTATTCCATTTCAAGCAAAATGCACAGGCAGAGTTCATCAGATTTCCCACACACACTTCAGAGAGTTAAGTTTGTTGGGTTTTTTTCCAGGAGGGTGTAGCAGAAGACCAGACATAGACAATCTTCTTCTAAATGCACTACCGATTCTTAATAACACTTCAGAAATACTTTCTACCCTCAGTAAGCCGCAAGATGGCAGCGCACGGTGAGAGTAAGAGCATCTATTCACTACGGTCACGACAACAAAAAGGCACAATACAACTTTTCCAGCAGCATTATTTCTAGTGGAGCTGCATGTGTGAAGCTAACACCAGAAGGATGGAAAGGAAATTAAAAAAAAAGAAAAAAGTTGAGGTGTGTGTGACAAGATCCATGCCAGATTCACCGTTCTAGGAGGTTCATCTTCCTATACTAGGGCAACCAAATTAATCTAGAGTACTTCAGGCAGACTTTTTCCTGACCCGTTTAGCAAGTTCATATCACAGGGATTCCACAAACTCTCAGTAACATATTTCAGTATTAAAATATCCTCAAAGAAAGAGCTTCTTCCTCATATACACATACACAAGATTATCTACATTTGCACACTGTGAGCCAGGCGAGGCTTCACCAGGATGAAGTAAAGCAAGAAAACTACCTCTCTGTTTTACGTACAACTGTTAAACACAAAAAATAATATTCAAGGTATAACATCGTTTTTCAAATCACTACCACTTTACTTATGGTCCCATAGAGCCTTCAGATTACTTTCTGCTATAGTACTGCTTAGCTGTTTTCCCATTTTGTTGTTTGCTTCCTGACTTTACTGAATCTTGTTCATTTTACACTGCTTTTTACTTTTCCTAAACCATTTCCTCTTCTGACTATATTCTTTAAAGCACCCACTGCATCTTCCAGCAACTGTGTGCCTGCAGTAAGCGCTCCCTGGCTGCCAGGTGTCAGTCACTACCAGACAGCAGCCAGGAAGACACCAACATGAGCCGTGTCCTTCCAGACCCCTGGGGAACTCCAGTGTGCGTGCTGTTTCTGCAGCAGGCAATGAACCACCATTAGCATCCCTACAGTTGAATATATGACCTTGCATTTAAGTAAACCAAAATGACAGAAGGCTTGCAAAGCCTCCCTCCTTCAGTTATATTAAAAGGATTTGCCACAAAACAGTTCTGTCTTCCTGGCAGGGCCCTAAGCACACAAGTTCCCCAGGGTTTTTGCCACATGTGTCCGAGGCCAGCGCCAGGAGGCACAGCAGGGGCAGAGCTGTGAGAGAAAGAGTAGCAGGAAACCTTGTTGTGGCAGGAAACCTCCAAAGGCTTGAGCTTCATTTTAGCTCCAGCCCTCACCCTTGGTCCTGCCCAAGCTCCCACTGCAGCTCTGCCCACGCCTGCCCAAGTCACTCGGTGACCCTCAACACCCAGTGTGGCCCTCAGAGCTGCTTCAGTACTACAGCCCAGCATAGCAGTCACAGGGCTGGGGCTGACCCTGGCCACCACTGTCCACGAGCTGTGGGATGCAGCCTGGAGGGTATGGTTCACGCCCTGGCCTATCCCCCTTCCATCTGCAGATCCCCAGCCCTTCCAGAGCAGTCTGCTCTTGCTTCCTGGTTGCATTTTCTCCCACCATTTCATGCAACCACTGCAGCAAGTTAAAGAAATAATTCTTGCCCAAAGTAACAATACTGAAGATGAAGCTTAACAAAACTACAAACCTCACAGTGTCTTCAATACTGCAATAAACCAATTTTAAAATATTGGGGGAAAAACCACATGCATAAATTCATACTCCAGGCCATTCATCACAGTACAGCAAAGCATGATTTGCTTATTATGCTTATTATCTTTAACAACTATGCAGACAAGCCACATGCAAAAGTAGATGTATGAACTTACCGTTTCACCCTTTTTATATTACCATGAAACAATTCTTTCATTCGTTCTTCTACTTTGTTTAGAAGCTGCAGAAACAGCAAACAAGAGAGGTAGAATTTATAGGTAATCACTTAATGTAAAATATCTGTAAAATTAGGCTACTTGGAAGGCAATAAAAGGTAGCACCTGCACTGAAAGGCTTTGAAATGTAACATTAGAAGACTACAAATAAATAGCTGGTCACTTTAGCCTCGTTACTAGCAAGAATGTGCATATTGTAGCAGCTATCATCACTGTGTTTAGCTGTCCTCCAGGATAACATAGCCAGATCTTTCAGGCACAGCCAAAGAGGGGACATGAGAACACTGCAAAGTTTCATTCCTGCCAAAGCAGTGGCCTATTCCCCCGCAATATCCAATTTCTGAAGCCTTCATATTGGGAAAGATGAAATTATTTTTCTCCGTGAGGAAGAAGTTTGAGTATAAAGGCTCCCCATCTCTCAAATTAGAGAAGGAAAAAGTCTCATACACCAGGTTGCAGGTTGAGCATCACTTCTGCCTCCCTGCCCTGGGTGTCTGAAGGGACCTGAGCCCTAACCAAGGCTGCTCTATCTTTACAACATTTACAGCGAAGAACACGAGGCCCAGGACACGCAAAAGAGAAAGCGTGTGTGTGCATGAGCACTCAAATGTGTATGCAACTACAATAAGCGTTACTACTCCTCATCTGTAAGCATTCAGGTTTGAACTAACTCTGATATTTAAAAATCTTTTACCAAGATACACTTTGATAGACCTGAAGAAAAGAAGGGGCTCCCCCTCCCCAAGCAGTTTGATAAGCCTAGTAAGGTAAGTATCACTCATACCTGATCGACTTCCTCTCTTCCTTTCGTGTGATCATTGTAGCTCTGCAGATCCACCAACACTAATCCATGAGGGTGAATTCTCAAATTGGCAAAACTACAAATAGAGAGACAGACAGTGATGACCATTTTATTGTCAAAAATCAGAGTGAGCGAAGAAAAGAAATCTGAAGCAAGTTGTATTAAATTCAGAATGCACATTTATTTTTCCAGCCATCTCTAACTGTTAGCAGTGGTAGCTCCGGTCTTCCTCTGCAAGTCACCAAACAGCAAACAAAAAGTTACAAGAGCATGCCGGTCACTACATAACTAATAAAATCAGCAGGCAGCAAGGCAGTGAAACAGGGTGTTTAAACCACAACAGCTATGGTACGAGGGGAAAATATACTGCCTACTAGTCCCAGCTCTTTAAATAAGACCTGCTTGAACAGGTGTGTTGTGTTGGTTTTGGTTTTTTATAGAACTCAAGCCTCAAGAAAACAACTGGATGCTTTCCTTTACCTATACCTTCCTTCTCATTGTTTAGGATATTTTTTTTTAAACTTTATAGTGACTATTCACAGAAACAGTGTTCACATTCAAAGCTGAATAAAAATTTATACGTGAGAAACAGTAAGTGTCCTGGAGCAAACCATAACTGGCAACGAAATTACAGGAGCAAACTCTCATTGATCAATACAGATGCAAGATAGACAAAACTCTTACTGTATACTTTATTTATTACAGGAGCATTTAAAGAGCAAGGCTTCACCATGCTAGATGTTGGACAAATAGAGGACCTTCAAGAACTTGCAGCAACAAAACAAAAGACAAGGACTGTAAGGAAGGACACGAGAAAATAGAGAGATAATAGGAGAGGCAATATCCTTTCCATACTGGGGCAGGGAGAAGACAAAAAAAGAAGCAGAAAGGCTACAAGGGAGGGGAAGCATACACTGAAAGAAGGGGGGTGGTTGTTTTGTAACAGGAACAGCCAAGCAAAGAAAGAAGGGTATTCAGGGATGGAAGTTCATTAACACAATACAGAGAAACCCCAGGTAAAGGTGTGTACAGTTCTCTGAATGCCCCTTTCTTTGCTTGTCTGCTCTTATCACCCACCCACCCCCCACACACACACCCCACACACACCCCCGCTCAGCCTCAAAGGCAAAACACAAACCAACTCCTGTTGAGACAAAAAGGTTTAGGTGACCTCCCATCTCCTCACCACTCCCACCTTTTTTTGGTCCCCTCCATATTTCCTTTCCTAAACTGCCAGCCTCAATATGAACACCGCCTCTGCCGTGCTGCTGGGAACTTTGGCCAGCAAACCCCCTTAGCTGCAGTCAGAGAGAATCCTGAGTATTCTCTAAGTGTTATCTACAGATCATTATTTTTGGTAACTGTGAAATGATCAGATGAAACTGACTGAAGTGATTCAAGAATAAAACCAGTCTTGCTGGCTTTGGACAGCAGTGATCCGTAGCTGTGATGTGTTTATAGTTGACAGAGAAACCAGAGCGTCACCCACTTCTCAAAAAATGAGCCTGGGAAGTCTTGGGCTTCCCTGAAGACTTTACACGCAGGCCTTGCCTTCAGGAGGAAAAACCTTTCTATACAATACGCACAATATTCCCCCTCCCAAGTGCCTGCAGACTGTCACAGTCCTTCAGTGACCCTCCCCACATCTCAGTCACTGCCCACTACCCGTCCTCCTGACAAGCTTTTTATTAGGGACCAGAAAACGGCTGTGCTCCCAATGGCCATTGAGCAAAGCCACAGAATAGCCTAAAATATGCATTCCCCCTGCGCCAGGAAATTACTCCTGCCTAAAACTTACCCCGATGAAAGGATGAACAGAAAATAGTGAAGGAGTAAACAAAGATACTTTTTTCTTCTTTTTTTTTTAAAACTACTAGAGTGCTACCTACCAGTTAAGAGACCAGGTTTATGAGCTAATTAGAAGAATAAGAGTGTTTTCAGTATTCAAGAGATTTCTAAGGCAGCTTTTTGCTTCTCTCATACAAGCTATATAAGGAAGAGTTTAGTGGGAACCAGCAAACTCATTCTACTGTACTCCTGCCAAACCGAAAGCAGAGAAAGCTATTCTGAACTTCAGGTGGTAAACACTTTACCTAAGTGTTTTAGGATGCTCTCACCCCACTCGCTGGTGACTGACGCAGTTCAGTACTCTTGATACGTGGGCCACTTCATACTTTGCATAGCGACCACAACATCTTACAGCTTAAGTTGGTGTTCTCATCAGTACCACTAAGACACAAATAGGACCATTAAACAATTTTTTAAAAAAAGAGAGAGAGAGAGAGAGAGGTCAGGACACACAAGCTCACCCCTGCAAGTCTCTATGGGGCTTCAGAGTTTTTAAACACTTCTCTCTGTGTCCTTACAACCCCTTGAACCAAAAGGGACTCAAATTAGTTATGTGCTTCTCCTAGAGTCCCTTAGTACTCAGCATAGAGGGAACAGCTACTGCAAAGGACAGGTCTGGAGAAAACCCTACCAGGATTCTGTTTTTATGCTTTTCATGTCAGCAGAGGTTTATTTTATAATGTGCCTAACATGAGAGGAAAAAAGAGTCAGGCATAAGCGTAAGGACAAACAGCTTTATTGCAAGACTCCAGGAGATACCTTTTTTTATTTAAAAGGAGAGAAAGACAAAAGAGCAGAGGCTCGATAGATGGAAGCACTGGTCACTCCAGCAGGTTTTGGAGACAACCTTTCACAGTGAAAAGGGACATTTCTGGTGAATTCCACAGACCTGCTGCAGGCCCTCAGAGCTGTGGCACTACGGATGGAAATAAGTATATTTGCAGCTCATGAGACAGCATTATTACTAGGTTCTCTGAAGTCTGGCACAGTGCCAGAAACATTTGCGCTGTTAGAAAAACTTTTTATCAGTTTATTCACATATTCCAAGGGTTGCTGTTGACATAACTAAGCAACAGATTGATTGTGCCATGACTTCTTTTAAATTCCTTTCCTACGAGAATCACATAGCTGTCACAAGATTTGACAGCTGACATTGCCTTCACTTCCCCTGTGACTGCATGAAATACTTCCTCAGTAGGGGACATTACTGTGGTTGCTTTGGGGTCTTTTTTTGGGTGGGAGGCAAGGAGAGGCAGAGAGGAGGGTTGCTCTGAAAAGCACAACCACACAACTTCAGACTTATTGTGACATGATAGCATTGGAATACAGAGACAGTAATGCTGCAGAACCATACTTTTCCAACCTAAACGATTCTATGAGTCTATGATTCTAATCATAGAATTCATTTTGTCAAATTGTTACCTCTACTGGAATAGCAGGGCCCTGACACCTGGGGCAAAGGGGAGAGAGATGAAAGGCAGGCACCAGGCTGGAACAGTGTAGTGGGACAAAATTCAAGTTCTGAGTGCCTGGCTGATAATCTCAGACAACTTATGGTAAAACAACCTTGAATGACATTCACATTCTTGAAGAAGCCAATACAGATCCAGGTTACCTATAACCTTGGTTAAAAGTCACCTGGTTGGAAATGAACACCTAAGCTAAAATGCCCATAAAGATTTAAACGCACAGCAAACAGTACAAGTGTACATTCAGAGAAGCAACCAGCCTGGTAGCATTAGGCAATAGCTGCAGGCCAAGGCTGAATGCATAAAAGACTTACTAGCTTCAGTCAGCAGAGAGCAAAGGCTGTGCTGGCCTTTGTTACTCTACACTTGTCTGCTTGGCAGAACTCATATAAATGCAGGTTTGCAGCAGCAGCAGCAGCTCTTTTAGGATTTGGAGGAGGGTTTTTAAGAACCATGATAATACAGTTTCCATTTTCTACCCATGAAATTATAGCAAAGATTACATTACAATCCACGTCAGGGGGGAAAAAACTGAAATACAAAGTTTCTTCAAAAGTCTCCCCTTCTGCATCCTATCTTATTGAAAAAATTCCTGTTTTCAAAACTAAACACCTGCCACACCTTTGGTGTGTGCTTGCATGCACTTTCATAAAAGCAGTGAGAAAAATGCTCAGTGAAGAGGGATCCTCTCCTTTCCATTAGGCAACAAAATCTACATGTGAAAAGCAGCTGTAACAAGGGCCCACTTGTTGCTGCACCAGCATACCTGCCACCTCTTCTAGCTCAATACTTAAGCTTTTTGTGCTTGCATGCAAACCAGCCTCAACTACAGAAACAATTCTATTGAGTGCAGCATTTTGTCTTGAGCGCTGCATCTTGCCAGCTGAAGAATGGGGAACATCAGATGCCAAGACATAAATCCCAACTGCACAAATCACAAAGCAACTGTTTGAAACCAAGAATGGTTTTCAGTGAGGATCCTCATTATTTAAAAAGAGTTAGAAGCAGGAAGATCAATACATTCTAAGCCAAAATGCATATCCTACCTTAGTTACTTGTACTGGGTAGTAAGAAGCATTGCAGTCCCACAGATTTGAGAAAGGATTTCCCCCTATCACCATGCCCAGAGAATAAAACTGGATAGACAGGTAACTACAAACCCCTCTTCACCCATCAAAGCTTTTATCTGCTGACAGACTAACTCTTGAGTCACTACGGAATAGACAGAATAGTTCAAGTATTTGAAAAACAGCTTGCCAATAAAAGCATCACCTGTCAATTTACTCATGAGGAAATGAAAACTTGCTTACACTAGGAAATCCCCTCCCCCCCAAAAAATAGTCAGGACATTGTTTCAATAAAGCAGACTCTTTTTTTTAAATGCTCTTCATCTTAATTACAGAGTGCTTAAGGGACCCGAAGGAAGTAAGCAACCACACTATTTCACTATACTGTTATTCCTGTTACCTTTTACAAAGTAAGAAAATTAAACCAATGAAAGTTACCACAGTTCTAAACTATTGCTGATTCCTAGCAACTGCTTCCAATTCTTCAGCCCATTTTTGCACTCCAGGTAACTCCATGAATAAATGAAACAAAGAACTGAGGAATATTCATCCTGCACCTTTAAAATACGCTAACTAGCATATAGAGTGGTTAGCAAAAGACTAACACAGAAAAAAATAAAATACACTCAACCCTCCCTTCATAGTGTTAACATATTCAACATCATCTCAGTGACATACCGACCAACTTCAGC